TTCACCTTCTCTAGATCAAAGTTTATATATATTAGGCTCTTGATTCATATTCACAACTGAATGGAGTTTTTTTCTTTAGACACACACATACGCATGTATCTACAGACCTAAGTCAGTTTTTTTGATGAAATAGACATGTTTTGTTCTTTAGGCACATGAACAAATACACATAAGACATCATATTTATATATAAACATCGCTTTTGTGTGAGAAACTTGAACCAAAACAAACACCCATATTAATCTATTAACCTCGCTTTTAGTATTCTTATATGGTTTTGCTCAAAAACTACAATCGAGGTAAAATTTGATGTCATGTTTGATTTTCGAGTTAAAAACGAAATTACCAAAACAAATTAAGAACTAAAAAACTTCGAAAAAGGATGAATAATCATAAAACGAAGATGTCAAAATTTGACTTTTTCGCTAATCAAATTCATCAGACGTCAACAAAAAAACAAATTTTCTGATATAATCAATCGTAAAAACCATGTTGTCGACTCCAAAACAAAATTCCAAAAAACCAAAAAGTTGCACTAAGATCAGTAGCCTTCAGTCCCGAAAAAACCAGTCAAAAAAATCCACAACAACCCCATAGATCAACCTAACAAAACCCAAAATCTGAAACACTTTTGAACAGAAAACGAAGAAACTGAATGAAATCTAAATAAATTCCTCTCACCTGTTAGAACTGGAACGTTGAAACAGAGGCTCCTATGGCTTGGGTAATTAGAAAAGGCGAAAAAAGGACGGAAGAAAAAGCAGAGGAAGACGAAGAAGAAAGGAGAGAAGGGTTAAGGTGGGGATGATATATAGGGGCGAAAGGTTGAAACGGGAAAGCAAGAAATTGATTTAAAATGAGAGAGAGAGAGAGAGAGAGAGAGAGAGAGAGAGAGAGAGAGAGAGAGAGAGATTTTATACCTGATAATTATATTTAATTTTTTCTTTAAAAAATATAAGAAAACATCATAAATGGTCCCTGTGGTAGTGAAATGACGAAAATGTCATTCAGTTAACGGATAAAACTTAACGAAGTTAGCAATAAGGACCAATCGTCAAAAGTTTTGAAAGCATAGGGACCATCTATGATGTTTTTAAACCACATGGACTAAACTTAAGATCTGGAGAAACCTGATGGACTATTTATGATGTCTTTTTCCAAAGTTATGATGAAAAATGAATTTTATTATTTTTCCAACTTAATTTTGAAAAATGTGTTTGGAAAAAAGATGTTGTAACCATTGAATAAAAATCAAAATGTGGCTTCTAACCACCACCAGAGCCATCACCGTCTATTTCGCCGGTGACTTACGTCGGCCACCATCTTGAACAAAATGAGATCGAGAGATAGAGAGACAGATAGAGAGAGTCGTTTGGTCTGGTAACAACAAGATTGAGATGGAGAAAGAAAGCAAGAGCGAGACCAAACGATGACGACTTACCTCCGACGAGGCGGTGGCTTGGTCTGGTGCGGTTCCGGTCGAGGTGAGGTCCGACGAGGTGTGGTCTGGTCTGGTCCGGTCGAGGTGTGGTCCGACGAGGCGGTGGCTGTGGTGGTATGGCGGCGATGGTCGTCTGATTCCGGCTACTGATAAAAACAAAAGCTAAAAATTTTGTGAAATTAAACTAAGGTTTTGAGTTAAAAGGAGTAATCAGTTAGGTTTGGGCTAATGGACTCCATGGCACGATCACAACCTTTTTAATTTTTTCTTGATAAATTTTAAATTTTAATCATTTTAATTACATAAATTGTTTTACTCAAATTTAGTTTTTAATAAAAACAAACTAATCTAAAAGATATACATTTTTTTTTTAAATTTGAGTCTTTTTAATAATTAATATTTTTGTTATTAATAAAGTTAGTAATAATAATACAATAATTAAATAATAAAGTTAATGTAATAATTATGTTAAATTAGTGACAAAAACAAATCAAATGATTAGGCTAAATAAAAAAAACTATTAGAGTGGAGTGTCTATAACAACACCCTTACTTCTTTACTGGTCCATATGGTTTGGTCAAATTAGCAAATTTCGTCTAATTTTCAAAATATCGACAAACTGCATCCCTGTGGTTTCCCGATCTTGCACAAATGGTTATTGGGACTTTAAATCTAACATATTAGCTATTAATTTTATAAATAGAACCATTTTTCCCCATTCCAAAATAATTAAATGACTAAAATATAAGGACCAGCTCACTAAAAACTCTAACTAAATAGACCAAATAAATAAAATGTCTAACCTAATATCTATTTCTCTTACCAACAGTTACCTACGACACAATCATTGTCTCTAATCTCCATCGCTACAACACCCTTAACTCCACATCCATCCATGTGAATCCATTCTCCATTTCTCCCCACCTCCATCACTGTCATCAGTTACCACCAATCATCCACAACCACCTCCCTGGCCCTTCCACCACTACTCCTACCTCACACTCACTATTAGAGGCGTTAGTCATTGTATATAAAGATGACAGAATGCCCGTTTCATCTCCATCAACCATCACAACCACCCACAACCACCTTATTGCCCCTTCAACCAATGTTCATACCCCATAAGCATTATCGCCTCAAGCACCATTCTACGACAATGGTCATTGGCTATAAAGATGGCGAAGTACCCTAATTCACTCACTGCCTTTATACTGCCACATCATGTTGGTGATTTTAGTGTTATCAACTTATTTTAATGTAATTATTATTAATAATGAGATAGGTCGAACTCTATTTACTAACTGAGTTTGGAAGTGTGAGGTGCACACTCAGTGTGATAAATGTGAACTTGGGAATATGGGGGTCCACGAGCAGCGCCCTTGGGTGTAGGGTTCTAAGGGGCTGCAGCCCCTTGGTGGGGTCTAGGGGCAACGCCCCTAGCATGGTCCAAATCTATTCATAACTAGTCTGAAAGTTACACTTTAACCCCCCGGTTTCCAAAATTTATAACATTTAACTCCTTGTGCTAATACTATGATAAATTATTACGGATTTAGGGCTATCATAAAAATATAAAAAATTCATCTCGGGATTTTAGGGTTTATTATTTATTTATTTATTTATCTTATTTATTTACTTATTTTATTTTAAATGAGATGTTACAATATGAATCCCACTGACTTCTTTAGATATCAATTGTCTCTCAAGGAACACTCCTCTTCAATCTACAAACTATAACATTCCATTTATTTAATAAATAAATAAATAAAAATTAATATTAATAGTAGCCCTAAATGCGGAATAATTTAGCAAGGCTTTGGTTTCGGGGGTTAAAAAGTCATAATTGAGAGTTTGGGGGTTAAAATGTAATTTCCGGACTAGTTTGTAGAGAATTTGAAGGTTGAGGTTTGTTTGGTAAAGTATGCATTAAATTTGAAAAGAGTTTCAGAAGTCAGAGTATGATTGGTAATTTGTTTGGACTTATTATGAAAGGATTTTCAAGGTAAGGGGTTAAATGGTAAATATTAGAGTTATGTTGCAATGAATTGTGGAGGAGGGTCCGAATGTGTCAGTTTGGGCAAAGTTTTATTATGGGATGGGAATTAAGACCCGTCATTTCCCTACCCGGTTGCTGATGCATCTCCAGGAAAACCCTATACCTATATCGTATTCTCCAGCCGCCACCACCATGGGAGTCCTCCTTCAGCCGCCGCCGTTTTTCCTTGCCGGCGAAGTAGAGAATGGCGAGACCGAAGCCAACCGCCGGTGAAGCTACCGCCAACGACGAAGAGCAACACAACGAGGCCAGCAGTGGGCTACTGCTTCCCTCCTCCGGTGAAGACGCGACCAATATTCTCCGCTGCAACCACCCCCCTTCGCTTCCTGTCTTCATGCCGTTCCAATGCCGGAAGCTCCCGGTAAGCCTCCTTGTTCCTCCCTGTGTGCGCGACATGGTCGTTGCTTTTGCTGCCGGCCTTGGCCGCCGTTTCTATTAACCTCAACAACGTTAGCCACCAAGTGGGTGGCTGAGAATGGTCATTTCAGGTCGTGTTTTTCAAGTGCTGCTGCTAGAACCCGTGAAAAGGGTTGGCCGGAGGTGAGGCGAACCACCACGGCAGCCAACCATGGTGGTTGCCGTTTTCTGCCACCCATTGCCGCCACCAGCCACCGTGGGAAGTGGTTGTGTGTGTATATTATGTGTGAAGTGGTATATGCAATTTTTGGGCAGGAACCACCACCACCACCATTGGAAATGGTGCCTGCCGCCGTGAGCCGCCACCGATCACCACCGCCCGAGGTGGCAGTGGGTGGTGCCCGACCTAGTGGAACCCTAATGGACCTGAACACTTAATCTTGGACTGGGCTGGCTCGTGATTGGGTTAGAAACCCTAATTAGGGTTTAGAAAAACCTAATTTTGGGTTTGTTGGTTTGGACCTATCGGGACCCGCGTTACGGGCCATTAGAATTGAAGTATGAATTACACCCGATCACACCGTATGACTTATCTAGTAGAGTGATGGACTTAATGGATTAATGTAACATCCCAAAAATACCAACTAAAAATTTCATTTTTAAATTAGGTTAATACATAAAACATCGTTAT